GCAGGGACAGAAAAACACTAGCCGGTAACTTAGACCTAGACACTCGAGGCAGATGCTTCAGGTTTGTGAACCTTGAAATTATTTGCAAAGTAAAATGAGAAAAACGGTGCAAACTGAGGTGTGAACAGTTTGAGACTTACCTTAAAAGATGCTGCTATTTTTGCAAAAATATAAGGGATCTATATAATTCGAAACAGTCATTACATTATCTTACTACTACTATTGCAGGAGGATTTCATTTTTTTTAAATTGAAGTTTATTATTAGTTTTATATTAATTTAGATGCATGCAAATATAGGACTTATAAATACAGGCCTGAATACATATTTCATTTATGCACTTTACAACTCTATGGACATTTTGCTAAAATACCATGTTTGTTATTACAGGTGCCTGCTAGTCAGTTGGAGTCTGAAAGTAGAGATACACAACGGTGAATGGTTGGAGAACATTTGACTTTGGTGTGTGTGTTTGGTGCAAGGGGTACGGGTGGGAGTGGGGATGGGGGGTAGTGATGGATGGCAAAGCCCAGCTGAGCATATTGCTCCCTTAATAAAAGCTGCCCTGCAATCCACATGCAGCTGAGGGTGTATTTTCTCTCTGTGACTCCCTCCTCACTTCACCATCATTTTTAAGAGCGAAAACTGGTTTAAGTGTCAGAAAGAATGATGCCCCTCGTCATACTGCACCTCACCTCTGAGCAGTATCAACAGCTATATTCACACCATGTGGCTCTCTATTGGTGTGTGCTGTTTTCTTTTTTAACTCCTGTTTTTACCAAGGGTCCAGAACAGGCAAGTAAGACAGAAGACAATGTCAAACTTTCATCAAATAAGTTGTTACCCAAAAATAATGTTAGTCTTTTCTTTAAGACGACTTGGTTGGTAATAGATTTTTATTTTTTAAATGTCATCAGTTCTAGAGAGGAATTGTGACTTTGGTTAATATTAGCCCTCATTTTGAAGTAGGGTTGCCAACTCCCTGAAAAATAAATAAGGGACACCTCGTGGCCAGGGCCGGGCAACCCAGTTCACCCTTCCCAGTGTGGTGAATTTTGTAGCTCTTTTTTTTGTGTGTGAAATTATTTTTTAACCATTTGACTTGAATTTGATTTAAGCAGATGCATATTCTTTGTGATATGACCATATGGGAAACAAATGATCATTTAGCCATTTATTTTTAGCTCAAAATGACAACATTAACACAGTAAAACAGGTCTCTTTCTTAAACAGAAGCCTGTCATGCTTAACTTTTGAGAATATAAGTAAATCTTTCTTTAAAAGAACTCTGTCCTGCTTAACTTAAAGCTGCTCCTGTTTGTAAACCCACTTGTTCCCATGATTACGCATCATAACTCATCATCATTATTAATCTATGTATTACTTTTATGTATTAGTCATCTATTTGTTGTAATCATCTATCCTTGCAGTTGTTTATTACACAAAATAAATTATATTATCACACTTCTGGCCACATAGCGCTGATATTCACTGCACATGCCCATATTAACCTTAACCAGAGGGTTTAAAAAAAACAAACCAGTGTTTACATACCATATCTGCTTCTGCCGTGGCCTGGTGGACACGTAAACGTCGGTGAAAAAGACGGAGCAGCACGGCTGTGCAGCGTGTGATCTGGACACAAGCGATGGAGGCACAACTTGTAGAACTTTGGAAAGCTCATCCGAGCCTTTTCGATGTGGCCTCACAAAATTATCACGACCACAACAACCGTGAAAATAGTTGGATTTACATTGCTGCTCAATCACAGCTGCCTGATCAATGTTTTTCATTAGCAATTTAGCAAAGTTGATGGTGGTGGTGTGTCTGTGTGAGTGAAAGACAGAGAGAGCGAGCGACAGATTTTCTGTTATAACCTTCATTTTATGGAGGCACAGTGTGAGCACTCAGGTCGCATCAGAGCATCGGGCGGTATAGTGTGAGACCTGCATCGTGACCTACCAACTTCTAACCCCTGCGAGTCAATCGTGCAGTTTGAAAATCGCACAGTGTCTGCCCAGCTTTAGGTGTACTGTCGTCCGAGACTTGCACCGCAGTGTCGGCGTTTGTTTCCCTGTTGGCCATGCTTCTTGTTGTGGTCATCTGTTGTCTTCCGGTATTTTCTCCGTAAGCGACCTTTCCTCGACCAATGAGATGAGCGGTAATCTGAATTGTCATACTCGAATTGTCATAAGTGTGCTGTCAGCTCATTGGTCACAAAGCAGGAGAGGGGCTGGGAATTATGTTTTCAAACAAAGTGTTAATTCCATTAAAAGTTATAGACTACTTTTGATTCTCACTGTATTACGGGAGAAAGTGCGTCGCTTATTAGCTCAATACGGGATGATTCCATTTTTATGGGACGGTTGCCAACCCTAATTTTGAAGTAAGCTTACTGAGTAGCTAGTCAGGTTTTGTGTACATAACTTGACACTATAAGCGTAACAAAAATATGTGTTGTGTAAACAACTGAATCACTGAATTTACATTGACTATGACACCAGTGCATGCATGTCAGCTACACAGAGGGCTAGAGAGGAGGGAAGCTGAATAAAAGTGACTGGAGTGACAGAGATAAAAAAAATTAAAATAAAAAAATGTTGTTGTCCTTTATAGTGCTTCACCTTTCATTCAGTGATTTACATTCAATTTGATAGCTACTTCTTTGTGTAATTTTCAAACACATACAGATGTCAGTGAAAATGTGAAGTGGCATGACACCACGATTCAGAAGAATTTTTGATTTTAAGCCACTTATATAGTGTCAGATATCTGTTGAGCCTTGTATTGTTTTAGCTCTCAATGGTCATGACTTCTTTAAAAAAAATTATATAAAAAACATCACATTCTCTCCAATTGGTATTTTGAGATGAGACAAATTAATAAAATGCATTTCACTATGGGCTATAATAAAGTACAGTCAATGAAACTGAGTAAAATCAATGTCGAACATTTTAGTAGACTTGAATAAAATAACTAGCATCTAAAATCAAACTGTAAGACTTCAGTTTGTGCATGAATTTGGACACTCAAATGTTATTAATTTTGACATAATTAGCTTTTCTGTGTTTTAAAATTATAAACTGCTTTTCATACTTAGCCTTCAACAGTTTGTCCACATGTGCCTAGAAGTCCCATAGGATGTTAGCTCGGTCATCCTCATTCTCTTCCAGGCCATACTCACCACAAATGTTCCAGTATACTATGCTAGCCATTTGGTTATGGCATCTCACTATTACATTGTACGCTAGGTGAAAGGAAGGTGGCTAAGGACTGATGCTGGCTGCACTGTCTTGTTTTTATGTCAGTGTCTTCTATCTATTCCTTTGGCCTGCAGATCTGATGACTGTCAGGGTGTAGGTGTCGATTGCCCAGATCTTGTTCTTCCCATTCAACTGAGTCTGCAGGACTTGGTGGTTGAGGCATTTCTAGTGGTCCCCTCATGATTCCCAGGTACGTATCGTTGTCCTTGATGTCTGCAATGTTGCCTTGCCTACTGTGGGGGTTCAGGCCTATGCAGAACAGTGGGGACAGAGCATCTTCTTGGTAGATCCTGTACTTGACGGTGACGTTTACTGTTGGCTTGAAGTTGGCCTCTGGTGTTGCACCAGCCCTTTGTGCTGTCTTGAGCTTGTCCTCTAGTCTCCTTCGTATGGAGTTCAACTCAATTCAATTAAATGCTATTTCTATAGCACCAAATCACAACAGCAGTTGCCTCAAGGTGATTTATTTTGTAAGCTAAATATCCTACAATAATACAAAGAAAAAAAGAAAAACCAAACAATCATATGACGCACCCTATGAGCAAGCACTTTGGCAACAGTGGGAAGGAAAAACTCCCATTTAACAGGAAGAAATGTCCAGAGAGACAGGATGATAAGTTGTGGCTGGACACTGGGTGATTAAATATCAACAACGGTGACTGGATGTCCAGAGAGAATCCATTTTTTTTTTTTTCCCCTGTCAGATTATAATTTCAAGAGGATTCGGAATTCCAATTCCATGGTCTCCTACTGGATTACAACTTCCAAGGACTTGAATCCTGTCTTATTGGGTCATATCTACACAGAAGGGACAAGGCATGCCTATTCTCTCCAACCTCTCTCCTCTGAAAGATCAGAACAAAGTGAGCAATACCATAGAGTAGGTTCAATAGATAATTATAATTCAAGTGATGTGATTATTTGTTATTATCATAATTATTACTTTTTATTTATTGCTTTGTTCCTGGGAAAATTGCTTTGAGAAATTATCCCACATTCAAAACTCTAAATTGTGTACATTACCTTCTTAACCCTTTGATTTTTACCTTTACTGCTTCACAGAGTATTAGTTTACATCGGTATCAATAGCACTTCCAGGTTACTCCAACCTTTAAAAGTAACAGACCCCAGGGACTATTTTCCAGACCACTAAACCCAGTCATGTTGCAACGAGCGTGGCTGGTAAAATTTGCAAGGCTGCGCAGGTTGAATTTAATGAATGAATGAATGAATTTAATCCATCCAAAAAGGCTGTAACAAGAGAAACTATGGAACAGGTGAAGCACTGTGAATAGTTTCCAGATGGACTGTGCAAATAATAGAAGAACACAAAACATTAATGTATGTAAATGTGAACATGACTCAGTTTTTTTCTCCAATATGAATTGCAGAAATTCATATTGGAGAATTTAAATGACACAACTGACCTTAAATTGCCACAGTCAGATTTTTGTGTCAGCTTTGTGTACAATATATTGGAAATGAATCTGCATTTATAATTACATTAATTGCAAATTTGTGATTAATTGCAAATCTCTGTCAATCTGTTTGAGAGTGATTACAGTCACAGTTACAGAGTGGAAGAGGGACAGGTTGCCACCCACTCTAAGTGATCTTTGAGATTGAAGGTGGTCACTGAGAAGTCGAGGGTGTTGTATGCAAAACCTCTGGGTATCCAGCTGGCTGCTGCAGCTGGTTGCTAAGCAGACAGCAATAAATAAAACATAAAATAAATAAATGTGATAACTCACCAACCACTGTTTATTTGTACTTGTGTGACTGATATCTCAGGTATTGTTTTACATTGACTATTATTTTATATATAAATCGTTTATTACTAAAGCAAGACTTCATTCTGAAACATTTGGAAGCATGTCATATGCATTAAAAGCTAAATAAAAAATATTTAACTGGGGGCCAGCCTTTGTTCATGTTTAAACAGGGTCCATTAAAACTATACTTGAATAAACTGAACATCTAAATGCATGCTATACATAATTTGTATAAGAGTTACAGATAATGAAAATCCTCCTTGTCAACAGTAGCAAACAGGTAAGGGCACACTGTATAGATTCTTATACAATCTGCAAATGACTTCTTTTTGTTGTCAATAACTAAGAAGATCAAAACTGGGTGATTGTCCTTGCTTCACAGTGGTGATCTCTGTTTATTGTAAATATTCAGTCAGTAGACAGTACAATTAGCAGAGGAACGCTGGGTGCACAGGAAGTCACTGGTGACCTCTTTATAACCCCTGGATTCAGTTAGACCACTTCCTGTTGAACAAATGAGAAGAGAAAGAGGTATGAGCAAACAGAACACAAAAGGCCTGTAGTACCTTGATCATTAATATGCAAATTGCAGAATCAACTTTTGGGAGACTTGCTTGAGTTCTGCTGTCCTTTCATTTTCATTTATAAATCCTTTATAAGGTATAGATCAGGGCTCCCCAATCCCAGTCCACGGGGCCGGTGTCCCTGCAGGTTTTAGATGTGTCCTTGACCGATCACAGTTGATTTAAATGGATAAATTACCTTCTCAGCATGTCTTGAAGTTCTCCAGAGGCCTAGCAATGAGCTAATCATGTGATTCAGGTGTGTTGACCCAGGGTGAGACCTAAAATCTTCAGGGACACTGGCCTTTGTGGACTGGGATTGGGGACCCCTGGTATAGATGGTCATCACTTTAGATGAGGTCATAGAAAATACTGAACTAACAACTTGTAAATGCAGAAATAACAATTAATTACAATATGAAATAAGACATTATAACACATCTTTTAACACACAAACAACAAGCTCATCTTAATCATTATATGTATAAATGCAATGACTAGAAGAACTTTGCTAATGATTTCCTTGGCTTTTTAAAATGATACTATGACCCATTAACAGCTCCTAAATAACTTGTTTGTAGTGGATGTAATATTTTTTATAAACTATGTTTTCATTCAATGTTATATATGAGCTTATTAAGCCATTAATATCCATTCATATCCATGTAAATGACACAGTAAGGAGTGATGCTTTCTAGATGATTAATTATTTAATAAAACCTTACTTACCTTATTGCCTCCAGTAATATGTAATTACTTTAACATGTTACCACTTGTAGGACAAACTTATCAGTGAAGCCCAGGAATTGCAAAAGGATGTCACAATTTTTATCAAACCTTACCTTCAATCAGGTTATAAAGGTTGCAGTAGTTGGTGCCATGGTCTTTAATGGCATACCAGGTTTCAGAGATAGACATGCCCTAGAAATTAAGTAGATCAATTAATTAATTTTTTTTAAAAAAGGCCATATTTGTTAAATAAAACATACAAATGCAAAAGGTAAGCAATAACAAAAATAAACAGAAGGTGAGGTGGTGAGAAAGACAGAAAAATAAAAATGAAGACAGAAAAGAAAGGATGCATCAGAAGAGAAAGGGGAGAGCATGGTACAGTGAACCAAATATACAGAAACCAAAATTATTGACAATAGACAGTTTGCTAATTTTGTTTTTTTAACCTGTCATATAATAAATCAGAGAAGAGAGATAACCTACCGAAACATGACAGCAAGTGTAGAAGTGAAAGGAGACCAATCGAAAGTTAATGTCATACACATTCTTCTTAAAGGGAGTAGTGTGCTTGGCAGATATGAAGTGAACTGAGGCAGAGTGCAACTGGAGGCAGAAATTAATTAATTTGTTAATCTATGTATTGTTTCTACAGAACAGAATTAAGGTTAAAGAGAACTCAATAATACAATTATATAATATTATGTGTGTGTGGGTGTGACTTCACATACCTTGTACAGGCACTTTTCTCCTCCCATAGTGCAGCTAGCCATGGTTTCCCATTTCTTAATCTGTGAAACCAGGGATTCATAAACTACCTGACATGGTATCCCAAAGTACCTGCATGGCATAAAACAAGCATAGCTACTTTAGTGTAGTAATTGCTAGTGTTGCATCACCTTGGAATACTATAACAAATGGTCCCATCTAGTGGAGATTGGTTGTGAGTGTTACTTGAGACTATTTAGAATTTGTCTATTGTAAGAAACAAAAGATGGGCTTTTTTTTTAACTGCTGACAAAAGGTAATTATCACTATTTACTTCTTTTTGATTATTAAATCTTACACCATATATTTTTATATTACAAGGAAGCTTTATATGATGAAAGATTACATGTATTTCATTTAATTAAGGCATTTTAAAAGTTTGCAAGTTTGTGTTATGACATTTTTAGCCAATTAAGAATGACAGAAAGGTGAGACCAGTGCTCTTTATGAAAAATATTGCCTCAATCCAGTTTATAGTAAACTATGGCTAAGCTCAAGAAGTTTCCAATTTACACAATAAATTACATTTTGGTGGCAGCTCAGTGATTTTACAGGCCAGTTCAGTTGTTACTACCGAGAAATGTGATCTCATTATTGTTCTATAAAGCATACAGAGTTGTTTCAATTACAAAATAACCATTACATATGCTTTAATACTTTCATATAGAAGAATATAATATTTATACACATATTAATTATTGCATGTCTTAGGTTTACATATTGATATAGAAGATACTTTCCTCTATTGAGATTGCATTGACGACAAAGAAAGAAACGAAAGGCAAAGTACTGTTTACATGCAGAGGCAGACTAACATTACGATGCATAAAAGAATATTTACTAAGCATTACTTCAGATACATGTTTATCACATTATTTTAAGGCAAAGCTAGAAGAACGACAGCAACAAAAAAACAAATTGTATACAGAGAAAATACATCATACCATTCTACTTTGCACTGAGCATGGAGAGGTCCTGCATAACAAATCTCAGATGAGCCAACTGCCAGGAGAACTGCAATGACCCAATAAACTGAATGCATTTTGCCATAAACTAAATGAACAAGTTTAGTTTGGAATTCCACTGCCTGTAGTTCCAGTGACTTGGATATATAAAAGGATGGAAAAAATGCCAGCAATCACAGGATGGTCATGTGCCTTTCTGAAAAGGAAAGAAGACCAAATTAGATTAACTTCTGAGGAATAGACAATAAACAGAACCTTAAGAATCACTTGGCTTAGAGAGACATCTAGTGTCTTTATCTAATAGTGCAGGGGAAACACCTATTTTATAACCACAATATGGCCATTCTGTCTACTCTACCCACATACAGCTTTATTTATTATTAAGTAATCAGCACTTGGAAGAATCTCATTTTGATAGAAGATAATGTTACACAACTTGTCAACTATTTGACCTCTGTAACTTTATTTTTCTTTAAGCCTGTCCTGTCTGGCAGCTTTTGCAATCTGAATGTGATGTTCCAAAAAACATTTGCTTTACCAAGATGAGCTCTATTCTCATTAGGCTCTAATTCTCTATAGGCTCCTCTTGTTTATGTGTTACATGTGTGTTACATTTTTTGGTTTATTTATTAGGTTAAATTTGTGTTACGTCCATTATTACAATTCATTTCCAATATAGCAATGTCCAAGCGAGCAGGTAGGGGAAAAAAAAGAGAAATCATTAAATAGTGTACAAGAGTAGAAATAGAAATGTGCAATGGATCTCTTTGGCTGCACCTGCAAAATAAGAAAACAAAAACAAAACAAATAAAACAACAAAACCTGGAACGGGAAAAATATAAGAAAGTATGCATACACAAATTAACAAGAGAGCAGCCAGCCCCACCACCACCATGGCACGAGCTGAGAACATGGCCCCAGGGCCCTAGGTGCCCAAGAACTGACTGCACCTGGTGAGACAGGGTATCTATCTGGCTTTTTTTTTTGTTTTGTATGTCCTGTCTGGCACTGTAGCAATCAGAATTATTGTCTGAAGGCCAAGACAAATGCCCAACAGATTTACTTTCCCAAGTGGGCCTTTTGCTATACTGGTCCACTTGATTGTCATAGTTTATTTGATCTTTATTAGTTAGTAGCGCAGTGTGCTTTAAGGTAGGAGCCAAAAAGGGTGTAGTTTGTGTGTGTGAGCACCCGTGTGTACACCTGTGAGCATGAACACGCTTGTTTTTAAAAGGTTCCTACATGTAATGATCTGTTAGAGGGTGTGGGGAGCCACAGCCCCGTCCACCAGGGCATGAAGCAGGTATGGAGGAGATCAAAACTCCAGACATCCGGAGGCCCTCAGAACACGAGACCAAGCAAGACCAACAGAGGGGCAGCTGCGCCACTGTCCCAGAAAGAGCTGAGGAGAGTCCCAGATGAGGGGTCACTCAGCAGCCGCGGAGCGTAAGCCAGGGGGGGGTTGCAGTGACGTGCCCGGGAGCTCCGCTGGCAGCCAGCTGTGGCAGAGTGACCGAGCCCCAGGCCGAGAGGCCGAGGGCACCTGTCCCGATTCGTGATTGAGGTGAGAGACAAACGACCACAAGTGCGTCAAAACAATGATTTTATTAAACACACGTGTGGAGGAAATACACCATCACAATCCTCAGCATAAATCCCCCAAAGAAAGCATACTCAGAATGTTTTATACGTCAGGGTATTATTACGCCCCTTCATGTGTCAAAGCAGATACATGACACGCATAAGTTACAATAACCACAACCTTTGACACATTCAAAAAGAACATTTTATCCGTCTCGACGCCAGATGCTTCCTGTTGATCTTACTCTGCTTATTTCTGGATCATCAAAACCACATCCTACAAAAAACTGTCACTTCTGCAGGCACAAAATGTAGTTACAAGCAAAATATGTCTGAACTCTTACCTAGAAACAAGTCTGTACACTGTGTGTGTGTGCAGGCAAACTGTGTGTCTCGCACTGAGGTCGAGACACCTCAGTGCACTCTGTCTCACCTCGCCAACTCAAGCTCACAACCAGACAGAGGCCACTCTCATATGTGTAGGAATCTAACTGAAACTATATATGTATATATTGAATAAATGCTTTAATCAAATGCCACTACTCAAAGCTTAATAAAAGCATATAAACAAATGAAAGGATATGAATGAATAAACATGAAATTAAAATGATATAATCCCCACACACCCGACCCCCGAAGTAGCCCGATCGAGCCCCAGGCTCCAGGCCCCGATAAGCAGCCACCAAGGAGTGAGCCGGTGTGTACCTGGACGCCCACCCCCAGACACAAAGAACCACCAACGCACCGATGTCTGAGGGCGTCTGCCACTGGCAGGGGAAGTGGTGGTAGGGGGAGATAGGCCTCCAAACCTTGGAGGGCCTGAGATGTCCCCAGAGAGGTGGCGTCTGATACCCACCTGACATATGACACAGACATACAGGCACACACAGACACAAACATCCATTCCCACCCTCATGCTCTCATATGCAATTACTCAACACTCAACCAACGTGGAGACAGACATAAAGAGACGCTGTACACACAATCACACTCCCCAAGCGTACTCTAAGCCCCGGGTCTAGGTACCCTTGCCCCTGGAGGGGGAAACTGCACCCAGACCCAGGTGGTGTTACCCTTTTCCCTGCGGTGGGAGGCAGACCGCCCCGACTCCGCAGCAGCAGGGAGGCCCCACATTCCAGACCCCAGTCGGACGGCCAACTCCTCCTCAGCCCCCCCGCTCCAGCAGGTCCGCAGAGAACGGGGGTGTGAGAAGACTCCAAACCTCCCTCCGCCCGCTCATATGTAGTGTTGATGCATGTGTGTTCTAAGGTGCATTTAAAACCCAGGAGGGCATGGAGCTACCTGCCAGAGAGCAGCAGGTAAGCGCATAGCCCCTCCTGATAGCCCTCAATGTCTACGTGTATTTAAAATTGAGAGGTGGGCAACGACGCCAGGGGTGAGGTGTACACCCTGATGGTAATTTGGAGTCCGTGTAGCGTGCCCACCCCCAAGATCCTATATGTATGTGTTATGAGAGTAATCTGAATGTCTAAGTTGTGAGATAACATTGAGGCACAGTCAGCCAGAAGGGGACAGGGGGGGATGCCTCCCCTGCACCCTGGTGACACACCTTTACCCCAAGGCCCTGCATGTGTGGGTGATTGTGGAGGAGCGGGAAGAGGGAGGCAGCTGGAGATGGGGAGGGAAGGAAGGGAGGAGCAAGTGACCCCTCCCTGAGGCCAGCTCCCCCGCTGACCCCAGTAGGCACCCCCATACTCCGTACAGCAGCGCCGCCCGGCCCCACAGAGCCTGGGACAGCCCACCCGACTCCACCACAGAGAAAACTGCACCCACCCCGTCATCCACTCATCTTCCAGACTACACGAGACAATAGATGCCCAGGCTGAGACCTTCCTCCACCTCTCCTGTATCTCCCCCTCCTGCAGAGTGAGTATCTTTCTGGCTTGGTGTCATTAACAGAGGCTTAGAAGATGGCTGGGGCATTAAGGAAGCCAAATGGTTTCCCCAGATATTTGAAATGCCTCAGGGGAGTGTTAAATGCCACCTTCCACTCATCATCATCCCAAATAGGGGTAGCTGGTAAGTATTTCTTAATATTGCTGGCTGTTATGGGTGGCACTTCAATGGACCCAGAAGCAGACACAATGCACAAGAGAAAATCGAGGAAGATATAGGTTTATTGAAAACATAGTACAGGGAAACCCAAGGAGAATTTTGTGGGGCAGAATGCCTGGAAATGGAGAGATTAGAATTAGCGGAGAGTGGCATGCACAGTAAGTTATGAATGAATAGTGAAGTGAATTTGTCTTACTTGTGATGTGGAGAAAGAACGCAGCGAAGGAAGTGGAGAGCTCCGTGGGGATCAGCAAATTGAGGTAGATCGAGGGGAAGCTTTATGAGCACGAGGGCAGGCAGGTATGCCACGTTTTCCAGGTAAACAGGTGAAGTGAGACAGGTAACCGTGCAGGTGAGTGGCAGCGCGGGAGGCAGGTAGCAGCTACGGAGATAGTGAGTATAGAGAGAAAACAAGGGAGTCGCCAGGATGCTGGTAACTGAGGAGCACAACAGAGAATTATTCCAAAAATCACCTTTCCTTCCTGGTGCTGTTAACTGACACTCTGGACAAGACTTGCAAAACTGCACAGTGCCTGTAAACTGCTGTGGCCAGTAAAATCTAGTTGACATACGAGAGAAGGTTTTGGCTTGACCCAGGTGTCCTGCCCAAGGGACTGAGTGGGCTAACTGCAGTACTGTGGATCTTAAACTCTTAGGCACAACCAACTGGTCTCCCACCCTACTGCGGCGATATAATAGCTCACCCTTTAAGAAAAATAGCTCTCAGTGACCTCTATTGCGTTTGTGACACTTTTTGAAAACAGGGGAGTTAAAGATGGATCCTCTCTTTGAAGCTGAGCTATTTCACCAGGTACGACTGGTAATTCGTCACATTGTGGCACTGGAACTGGTTTAGTGAACTTTGTCCCCCTCACCTTAGCCTGTCGCCTCTGGGCTCTGCTCTTTCTTATGCGACCCTAACTTGATCCTTCAAAATCAGGAACATCACTGTTAGCGAATGGAAATTCACCCCAACCTAAACCTTCTTCTGCGTGATGCTTATGTTTTGACCTGGTGACTGCTACCATGGACTCAGCTGGAACACTTGGGTTGATTTCCTCTCCCCTGGCTATCAGATCTGGCAAAATGGGAAGATCACAGCCCAACACAACCTGATATGGCAGTTTACTCATAACTCCCACTGAAAGTAAATACAGCTTGACGTCAATCTGAATATTAATGTTGGCAATTGGGTAATCCACATCATTACTGTGAACACACCAAACTTTTACCTTTCCGCAAAACGTAACATCCCTGGGAAGACATTCATGGCACACATGAACCCAGAAGAGCCACACATGGCTTTTCCTCAATAAAAACGCATGTGGTGCGCTCATGCTGAGAAGAGGGCGCTAAAGACTCAACTTCATGTTCCTGACCTTCGACACCCCTTGAAGAAAAGCACATACAGTGGGGCAAAAAAGTATTTAGTCAGCCACCGATTGTGCAAGTTCCCCCACCTAAAATGATGACAGAGGTCAGTAATTTGCACCAGAGGTACACTTCAACTGTGAGAGACAGAATGTGAAAAAAAAATCCAT